AGCAGAAGAGTCCCAGGCCGATGTATACAGAGCACAACAGACCGGGGCTGTAGCTTCAGCGTGGCCACTTCCTTGCTGTGTGACCTCGGGCAGGTCGCTGCCCCTCTCCGAGAATATCTAAAAGCAAGAAGGTGGAATTCTATTATCTCTAAATCCACTTCTAGCTCTAGGATTCCACGAAACTAGCCCCAAAGGCTGGGGGTAGGTGGGATGGGGGGGGGGAGAGCTGGAGGATCTTCCCAGCAAGTCCTGTGGTATGTTCAAGTGGGAATGTGTAAGGTCCTCACCCCACTCTCCCTCCCCCATTTCAGAACCTGCAGAGGGAGGCAGCTTCTCACTGTCACAGGAGGTTCTCCAGCACCTGCGGCAGGAGGAAAGGGAAGAGCTTACTGTGTGCAGCTCGGGGACCTCAGTGGTGCCCGATTCCTCCGTGCTGTCCCAAGAGCCCAAGCTCCTCATCAGTGGCATGGAACAGCCTCTCCCACTCCGCACGGACATCTTCTGAGGCCCAGGATCACCTTGTCTGAGTCTCCAGCTCAAGACTCTGGATGGAGGCTTTCTTATGTCCAGCAGATCCATTTTCTCCCACAATGGGCCTCATAGAGAAGGGCCCTTAACTTGACCTTGGGCAAGTTGTTTCACCTCTCTGAGCCTCAGTATCCTCATCTATGAAATGGGATTATAATCATTGCCCTACCTACCTCACAGGGTGGTTGTGAGGACTGTGTGGAAGTTTTTTATAAACTCTAAAAGTCAGGTAAACTTAAGGATGTGCCAGGTGTCTTCCATTGGACCCTCCAGACCTACTCTCCGCCCTTCTCCACCTCATCTGCCCTGGGACGCTGACCAGTCTGAGCACTATCAACAGGCTCCCTTGCCCTCTGGTCATGTTTGGTCAATAGGGAGCCCAGCAGGGGAATGGAGGGAGTAGAAGGGTGAGGTTGGGGTACTTACTCCCCTGGCTCCCTCCCTGCAGTGTAGAAGTTACTGTGGTCTCTCCTGCCAGGCAACCTTCTGGGTTCCCTGGCTATCTCCAGGTTTCTGGAACTGTTCTCTCCCCTTGTCTCTTCAAGCCTAGCAATGGTATTGGCTCCCCGCTGGAAGACTTACTCTCACTTGTGGGTTTCTTATACCCTCCCCTTTCTCAATAGTCCCTTTTAAAAACACTCTTCGGATTACCCAATTTGTGTCATCTTTTTCCTGCCAGGCACTGATCCAATAGATTGGTATTTATTATTGCCAAGGTCCAAATCTGCTTGCACATACGTGCTTCCTTGCACCCCTCCTTCTCCTAGTATGGGGCAGTGGGGTGAGGGGTGTCATTTTGATCTGGCCAGAACCCACCAGTCGGGTTAAGGATAGAGTTGGGCAGCACCCCTCACACCACTGCCTTTTCAGTTGCCCTTGTCTCCACTGGGACGCTTGGGGAGCAGGGACCAGGGCTAGCCTGAGCCAGCACTCTGATGCGATGAATGGGATACAGCTGTGTCCTGAGCAAGGGGCCACTTAAAGGAGCAGGGACCACTGAATAAATGTCCCCAGATGAGAGAGCCTGCAAAGGGATAAGGGGGAAGAGAGTTCGTACACGGAGATGTGACATACCCTAGGAAGCCTCGGACAACAGCCCAGCCACCATGCCATACCTTTTGCCATCACTGTTAGAACTGAGCCACTGCAGCAACACTGTTGTGGCACAATTGCCCCCCTGTGTGGGGAAGGCAGTCATTTCTACTAGTTCCATCTGCTTCACCAAGCTGGACTTGTTCCCTCAAATGTGCTCAGTATGATTTCTGAGCGTAGCATCACTGCGGAGAAATCCTCTACACACATGCACATTTGCCAGAAGAAGCTGACTGCCCCTGAGGATGACAGAGCCAAGGGAGTCAAAGGGGAAACGGTCCCCAGCTGTCCCCGGCTGTCCCAGCCATCCTGCCCCCAAGACCTGAGGATGCTCTGACATCATACCAGTGACTCTTAAACTAGAAACCAGCCTAGAATCAAGGGCCTCCCCAACATGACCTTCCTCCACTCATCCAGACCCCAGCGTGATGCTCAACCTGAGGATGCTCTGACATCATACCAGTGACTCTTAAACTAGAAACCAGCCCAGAATCAAGGGCCTCCCCAACATGACCTTCCTCCACTCATCCAGACCCCAGCGTGATGCTC